TTTCTTTCCAAGTTGCCATCCATTTTTTAATCCTTTAATTATGCCTTTCATAATCACCAACCCATATTAAAAGAGTTTTTAAATTAAATTCAGATTGATTTCTTCATTCATTAACTATAAAATATATTTTATTCTAACTTTTTCTAAAATGGATAATCCAAACAATCATAATAAATTAAGTTTCTTAATCAACCATACTGTGGATATGAAAATAATCACTATCAAATATAATAATTCCTCCTTAATTATTGTTCTTAATGGATTATCCTAGATCAAAATTCATTAGTTTTTATGATATTATTTTATAAAAAAACAATGTTTAAATATTTTTTGATATTTAAATGTGATTTAAACTTAACCCAAAATGTGATGAATACACAGATATTCAAAATAGGCCTTTTTTGAATTTTATTCTTTAACATATTAGAAAAAGATCTTTCATATTAGATTATATTGACTAATGGTTGTAAAATAAACTTAAATCATCTCAACTTATTAGATAAATACATCTGAAAATTTTTTTTACAGAGATTTTGTGTATATATCCTTTATCATAACATGTTGATAAGATAAATTTTTGTATATGAATAAATGATCAATCAAGTTCTAGCTCTTTTAAATTCAATTTTTTGTGGCACTTTTCTAAGTCAGCAAATTAACTAAAATTGATTCCATTTAGGCCAACACACATTAAAGAATAATACTAACGAAACCAATGAGACTCATCAATCTTATTATTCTTATCAAACTGATTCGTCTTTGGCTTTTTTATTGATTCTTATGGGTAAGTCTTTTTTAATTATTTAGCACTTTTTACTTGTTCTGTTTGTTTTTCGTTCGAATTTTATTCCTTTCTTTTAGACTACTCTAAGTTTTGCATTTTAATTAATTTTATTAAAATAAAATACCTACAAAAGCATTTCTGTATTAAAATAATGCCTTTTAAAATTTCTCCTCTTAAATCTTTATAAACCGTCATACAAAGTTAAAATTTTCTGCTTTCATATATTTTTCTTTGTATATTCTATTTCATGATCTATTGAAAAAATTTTAAATTTATAAATCAATAAAATCAAACTTCAATCAATTTATTAATTATTGATGCAATTCATAGTTATAAATCTCAGAATTTCATACATCAATATATCATAATTATTCACCTTATTAATCAGACTTAAATCGGTTTTCGAATTTATAACAATAATTTAATTCAATCAATAATATCAGAGACTTTTCTAATATTTACTTTTTATTTATTTATTATATTAGATTAGAATTTCTAATTGCATCAGAAAAGACTTTATCATTTTATATATATTTTTGCTTTGGCTTTTGAAACATTGAAAAGAAACTTTCTAAATATTAATAAGAATACATGTATAATTACATTCATAAATCTAATCATCAATACGAAAATCAATAGAATAAAACTCTTAAAAAGGTATTTTATTAAGTTAGTAAATTTTTTTTACATATTGATAATAGAAAATCACCAATGACAATACTTCAAAAAAAGAATATTACAAAGATTTAAAACTGTAATATTAGATTTTAATAGTAAAAAATATAGAGGATTTGGCCAATGTAATTGTTAAATGAATGGATATTCCTAATTCTTTTAAGCGACATATTTTGGTAGTTCATCAAATAATGAAAAAAATAACTTTTATCCGCATTATATGATAGAAATCAAAAATATTATATTTAAGATGCTAACTTTATTCAGAATTTAATCTTTTAAATATGTGATTATGATAATATTTTTAAGCTGTAGACTGTATCTGTATTAAATAATTATGCAAAAGGATTTACAAAGATTAAAATTGTTAGATATTAATAAAAACTATATGATTTAAAAAAAAAATATAATGATAACAGAATATTTTATTCCTTATTTTGAATGATATATTAAATTCATTATACATGTTAATAATTTAATTATAACAGATGCAAATTATAAACAAAAATTGTCTTTACCTTATTTATTTAATGAATCTAATCAATAATCAATTAGAATTAAAATAAATAAAAATAAAATGTTTTTTATACTCAATATCAGAATTAGAGTAATAATTATCATTTGATAATCTTTTTAATGTATCTTATTATTTTTCAGAATTTTATTTAATTAGGTATATTGCTATAATTATTAAGTTTATTATAAGAAACTTACTTTAATAATAATCTGATAAATATTGAATAGGTTACCATTAATCTTCTTAACCTATTCTCTCACTTAGAATCCTTTACAGGGTTATTCATTTCAAATATTAAAACTAAAGTTGAAATGCTAATTTCTTATCCTCATTCTTTTATTAAAAAAATAAAGCTAATCTTAATTTAACCTTGTCAAATTATAAAATGAATATGTTTATTATGTTAAGATTTCAAAGAATTCTCAAAGATATTTTCTCAATTTTTTTCTAATTCTTAATCAACATTTATGCAAAAATTATTTAACCATTTATAATAAAATTTATTAAGTCTAATTAAAACTGTATGCATTGTGTTAAAAATCAAATTAAAGATAGAAATTTGGTATACATGATCATTAACAATAATTTTCCATGTTCTGAAAATATTCATATTCGTTTCTATTTTTTCTTTCAGAATTGGTGAATAAGATAAATATTATAAGCAAATAAATAAATATAATTATTCATCTAAGTTGAAGTTAGTTAAAAATCATTTTAGCTTTATTTTATCTAATTATTACAATTCAATAACCATATTTGGTAATCCCATTAAAATTAAATGAATATTAATTAATTTTATATCTTATTTCACTCCATAAAATACTAACTATTTATTATGGCATAAACTCATAATCAAAATGAAATTTAAAACATTTATAGCAAAGCTGGCAAAATCACTTTCGAAAAATATATTGTATTTAAAATAAAAGATGAAATTATAAACGATAGGCCAAGATATTATAATTCTAAATTTTAATTAGTTTCTTTTCCAAAGGAACATGTCTACAATGAAAAGAAAATTTCTGAAATTCACTAAATTTAATTTTTACAATTCTCTCATATTATACCAAATTAAGTAATGATAGCAAACCTTTTTATGGGCAACATTATGTAAAATACAGTGAATTAGATAAGTCTACTATTTATAATAAAGCTTTTCATTCTGTTCATGTAGACAATAAATCGCCTCAAATAAACTATTCCAAAGAATATTTTAAGGTAGAAAAATTGAATGAAAATAATGTAGAAGAAATATTTACAAAATATTTGAACTATAAGAATCTATTGCTTTATTCTTAGAATTATAGTAGGATTGATTCTTAATTGCGATGTTCTTATTTCAATTAATGATTCAATTTATGATGCACCCTCTTCATTTATTACTGCATCCTCTAATAAGCTTATTCTATTATAAATCAATACTATTAACTTATAACTCAATCATCTTTATTGCTGTGCTTTAAATTTATTTTCTAATATTTCTTACGAATCTATACTTGTTCTCAATTTTACCATAGGAATTTTAAAGTTTGCGAATAATGATTTTTTCTGATTTTTAGTATGACCCGTGATAAATCTATAGTCTCCTAGATAACCTTAAATACTTTATATATCATTTCATTACGATATCTATCAATAAAATTAAGAAAAAAATCGAAAATATTAAGGAATCCAATTTTACCTTATTAGAATGAATGCTCTAATGGCAAAAGTACATGAACTACAGGAATGACAATTGATTTGACTGCTTTAAGATTAGTGATTTAAATTTTGTTTAAGATAGGTAAGAGAAAATGGAAATTTAATTAGGACTGTATATGAAGCTAAAATAAAAAAGTGTTTTATAGTTTTAAATAGATTTTTAAGATATTAAATTATATATGTCAATTTTTTTTATATATTTATACTTTTCATAAAGTAAGGTAGCATCTTCGTGGGTTTTATTTCGCCTTGAACTATATTATTTTGATTAGGACAGATATGTGCATCTCTTTTATATGTGCCTTATATGTGCCTTTTTATTTTTCTGCTTTAGCTATTATATTCGTTTTGATTAATAAAGTTTGTCTTAACTAACATGTTCATAGTAAAGATTTTTCTTACAGAAAATACTACTCTAGACTCAGAAAGCCATTTTTTACATAAGGCTTTCTAAATTTCAAGACAGAGTTTCGTATAAATTTTTCTATTTTTCATCTTACAATCTGTTGCTGATAAATTTTGACTACTTCCTCAATATTTAAATTTCTTCACTAATTATATTCTCAAAAAGCAACTATATCAAAAATTTGTATCAATATCCTAAATGGTTTTTTTGGTTCATTTGCTTTAACGAAAAAGGGAAAAAGTTGCGTTGATACAGTAAACAGGTCTAGCAGATTTTCTTTCATCAATCTCTACATCTCTTAATAGTTTTTTTCTTTATAAATTATAATGGTTAGCTCTTTTTTATTGTGATATTTATCGAATCTTGCAAAGGAAGGGGCATCTAGGATATAATTTGAGGATATAGGTATATTATTTTGCGGATGCAAAGAACAAACACTAATAAGACAATTTATCTAATTGCAGCTATTAAAATGCTGAAAGATTTCTAGAGTTAGGCAATGATATAATTAAATTTATAAGTAATAGAAAATATAAAGTAATTGTACTAGTAAATTGAATTTAGGAATTGGAATAAAAGAAAGATTAAGGATTTGATGTATGGATACTTTTACTCTTTTATACTAAGCAATATCAGAATGTCGGATGAAAGTGATCAAGGGGCATCATGATTATAAATATAATATATTTGTAGATTAAATTGCTGGGGGAATTGAAGAATTTTTAGACCTTTTAAAAAAAATTCTTAACTAAAAGTTAAAATGATATAAGAGATGGAGTATTTAGAATTTATTCAATATAGTACCTGTAAGTTATCAAAATATCGAACAGATATCAATTTTATTTTATAAAGGAGAAAAGAACATAAGATATAGTAATTTGAAATAAAAAGACGGATATTTAGAAGCATGTAATAGTCAAAGATCATAAACACTCTTGATATGATAGTTGCTTTCAATAAAATTTAATGAGGAATAATCTTTATCTCCTTGAAATAGGAGTATTAGAAAAATATGGAATAAAAACTTTAACAAATCAAGATTTTAAATATCTACTATTAAAATGCTTAGGTCTTTTTGGCATTTCAAGACTTTCTATTTAGAAATAAGTAAAGCTGCTTGTCTCCTTTTCCACTTATTGGATTCGATATTTTTTCTTCTCTTATATTTTTATTTTGGAAATTAGTCTAAATGTAAATTAAATTTTAAATTCTTAAATTTTTGACACTTCAAATATTAATTTTTAATTATATCTAAGTATTCTTAAATCCATTTTTTCTCCATTTCTTAGAAAAGTAACTAAGTTATTCTATTTTTCTTCAGTTTTCCAATATTGCTCTAATAAAAAGTAGATTCCTATTGTACTAGAAGTATTTTATACATTCCTCTCTATCTAAAATAAAATTCTTAGGATTAGTTTTTCTTGATCCTTTTTTCAATTTTTAACCAAAATAATGCAACAAAACTTAATTTAAACTTAAACTTTATTAAGCAATATTTAAATATAAATGAATAATTCTTATAATATTCTAATAATAATATTTCATTCCTGCTTATTCATGTCTCAATATATTTTCTAATCTAATATTCTTTTGATTTGTTATCCCAAGTAATTAAATACTACCCATCTTCAGTCATACATCCCCAAATCTCTCTAGTTTCAAACTCAATAGATCACTCTAATATAAAATCTCCATTTTGTTTTTTCCTTATTAAATTCACCTATGATCCATTTTTATTCACAAGGATACATTTTGATTTTATATTATTAAGGAAACAAATATTTATCTAAACCTCCTTTTACTGGAATATACTTGGTCATTGTATACTATTTATTAGTACTATTCATCTCAAAAACATTCATCTAATCTTTATCATAAGGTTAGAAGATGAATGTATTATCATCAATAAAGCATAATCGACATCCAAATTGTCCCATTATAATCTTTTATATTACCACCCATTATTTACTCAATTATGATTACTAAAATAAGTTTATCGTATCCACAAGAGATCAATTTATTCTATTATTCATTAAAACTTAATCCTCATAAATCTTTAGTATGGTCAGTAATTTTTTAAGAGTTCAACCATTAATTTTACTTCTACCAGAATTTAATTGCATTATCATAACTTCCAGATACAATCAGATCTTGATTATTATTTAATAGTAAATAATAGATAATCAGATTTCATTATTATTTAATAGTAAACAATAGATATCACCTGCATGTCCATTCAATTTCTACTAGGAAATCCATTTATTATTTTGATTTCTTATCCATATTATAATTGATTTATCTTCACTTCCAGATATAAATTGATCTGATCTCTTCATAAAATTTAAAGTATAAACATTTTAACTATGTTCACTTAAAATTTCCACATATTTGAACATTCCTGACTTAAATTCAAACACTTTAATTTAACTTTTACATGAAGCAATCATTATTGAGCAATCTTTATTAACTGTAATTGCTCTACAATTTTCATTTTATTTGTTTGAATTTTCCTTGATTAATTATAATTAAATGGTTTAAGATTTTATTGTGTAGATATAAGTGTTGAATATTATTGCTAACACTTTTCAACTGTACTTTATATACTCTGGATTAAAGATCTCACTTCTAAAAAAATTTACTTTGAAAAATTATCATTTTAAAAATTAAGTAAATAATTTGAATTTATTTTTGGTAAATCATATTATAGTTAATTTTGTATTTTATTATCAGATTTATCATAAAGAAATTGATCAAGTTTGGCATCTATCTAGTTAAAAGAGTTCTATTTAATTTATTAATAACTATTTTACTTCCACTTCATTTTACAAATTTTCTCTGCTTTAGTTTACCCATCTTTGGTATTCTTTTCATAAGTTTTATTTAAAGACTGTTTGCATTTTTAATTTTAGAGGAAATTTTATTTAATAGTTCCTATTTTTAATTAAAATTAATATAAAAGTAACAAATATATTAATTAAAATTAATATTTATTCAAAACCTCTGCATTGAAATCATGAATATGAAAAAAGATATTTAATATCTCTAAGAATTATAAGATGGCCATTTAATAACTTTATGGCTTAAAATTGGAATATTTTAATAAATACTCAGAAGCTTTATTGAATCCTGCCTACGACCCATGAGAAAAATGATGGGTAGCAGAAATTTTAGTTAGAGTTATTGAAAGCTGAATTGAGTGAAACGACGGCAAATAATCTATAGATAGATTTATAAGAGTTATTTTTATGAACAGCAATCAATATAATTTAAATTTTATCACTTTATATCAAATAAAGAATGCAGAGAATTCCAAAAGGGTGTAGAGAGAAAAACGAAAGAGATACAGCTCTCGTAAATTTGATAGACTAACTAGTTTTGGTTTATGTTGGATAAGCAATAGAAAAACCTGAAGACCATAAGACAAAGATACAAACGCGAGAATTTTATAAAAATTTTTCCCTTAGAAATAACGCATTAACTATCAGAATTTCTGCATATAGTAAAACAAGATTAGAAAATCATATGCTTCTATGTATTTCATGAAAATATAATGAGCATTTAAAGATAAAATAATTTAATTATTTGAAGAAAAATAAGAAAAAACATAATACTTACAGAGTAAAATTCTAATAAAGAAAGAAATCTATTTCATAATTCACCCTATCTGAATCATATCCAAGAATTGAGTACCTCATTCTAGAAAATTAATGAAAAACTTAATGGTAAAGATTTATAATAAAAATTTCAACTTCATATCAAGCAAAAATACCTAAATTAATACCATAAACCTTTGCTAAATATTTCCATAAAAATTTTTAAAATTTGCCCTCAACTTAAATTTGGGGCTTTTAAAACTATAAAGGATAAACATTTCATGCAAATGGAATTACAATAAATCAATCATCATTAATGAAGTCCTCCATTTTAGCAGGTTGGATCTAATATAGATATTTGTAAAATTTGTTATTGAATGAAATACCTTTAAATTTATGAATTAATAATGATGCATTTTTAGATGTTAATCAGAAGTTTAAAGGGTATATGCTTGAATACTTTGTACATAATATGTGAGATACAATTAGTCATTTCAGCAAAGGAGACTAGAAATTCGTAGTTATATTCAAATTTTGTAATATGAATATTCTGGAGTTCTCTAATTTTTGATCAAATTGAGAGAAGAAAAATATGAATTATTTCAACTTCTAATGAGTTGCATGAGGAAATATCGACATTGATAGTCTAATTTGTAAGAATTCAGACTCCTATTA